AGTCCTCAATTTGCCAGCAAGCACGCAGCCAACCGATCCGACTAAGTACGAATGACCAACACTCATCCCAACACGCGCTCGACGAAGGACGCGGCGACCCACGCGCCAACGGTCACGCCCGGCCGGACCATGTCGAAGATCATCACCGGCGGCTTTAGCGCGATGGGCGAGATCCTACTTGGCGCCGCGCCTGTTGAGGCAGAGGACGTCACGATGGACACGCCAACGAAGAAACGCACGGCGACAACTGCCTTGGGTTCCGGCGCCAACAAGAAGGTCGCGGAACCAACGGCTACGGCGACCGACGACGTCACACCCGACGACAACGACATGCAGGACATCCCAGAGGCCTCCAACGACGCCGAGAGCGACGCGGATGACACCGCTGCGGGAGCATGGAACGTGTTCATGGACCCGCCGCACGACGAGGCTCCCGAGCCGGCAGAGGAGCCAACACCTGCCGCGACGGCAGAGTGGCCAACACCTACCGAGGCGGCAAAGGTTCCGAAGAAGGCTGCCAAGACCGCTAACGAGCAGTCGACGCCGGCCACGGAACCCAAGAAGAAACAGCCTACCAAGGCGAAGAGCTACGCCGAGACCTTGGACGACGGCAAGACGTTATCGCACGCGCACGACGTCGGGTTTCACCCGGCGGCGGACGTGGACTTGCTCGCCCTGCAGCAGCAAGCTGCGACAGGCGTCTGGACGTACAGTGCCGTCGTCGCCTGCGCCACGATGCCGCGGCGCGCGACACTCGGGCACCTGCTCATGAACATCGGGCCCGACGCTAGTACCAAGGAAAAGCTGAAGGCCAACCCCAAGTTGAAGTACAAGTTTGACGAGAAGGCCGTGCTGGCAGCCGTCCTTCACGCCAACCAGTTGGTGCCGGCAAGCGTCGTACCCCTGCTGGCCGACCTCATCACGGTCAACCGGATCCCGCGTACCAACACCTTGAAGTGGGACGTGGCGACGCCCGCCGCTCTCGAAGGACTGCTGGGCCGCACTTTCGACATCCCGGTCGCGCAGGGCGTCACCCAGCGCTGCATGATGACGAAGGTCGGCGTCCTTGATGCGTGCTTTTTCATCGACATCCCGACGGGTTTCCAGTCGCTCGAGGAGGAGACCGCTTTTTGCAACTTCATCTACGCGGTCGAGCCGCGCCTTTTCTACGCCACGGCTGTAACGGCTGCGGCGTCGACGGGCTTGCGCGGCGCCCGCTTCCGCCTCTACTTTCGCGGGCTCGAGACGCCGGCCTTTCTGAAGGTCGGCGACAAGTGCGCCGACGAGCTCATGATCTTCCGGCGCTGGCACCGCATCTACTCGAAGGACCACGAGTCGGCCTTCGAGCGCAAGCTTCGCCGCGTCAACTTGGAGACGCTCGCCATGGACATGGAGTACAACCTGTCTCTGTCGACGGGACCCTTGCCACAGACGCCGAAACCTACGCAGCAGCCAGGCAGCAAGCCTGTCGAGCCGGCTGCGAAGAAAGCGCGTGGCGAAGAGGAGGGCAAGACAAAGCCGGTTCCATCTACGCCGACGGCCAAGTGGACCGCCGTCACTCGCCGCCAAAAGCGTGACGCCGACTCCACGACGAAGGCGTCGCAGCGCCCTTGGGTGACCAAGAGCTTCTACGCGGTTCTGGACACGGCCATGACCCTCGACATCAAGAAGGCTACCACGGTGCACGCGGGCGCCACGTTCGAGACGTACGTTCCCGTCGCTGCGCGCACAGGCTTACAATTGGGCGCCGGCCACGCGGCCCGCATCGACAGCACGAAAGTGTCGCTCGGCGGCGTCCGCCGCTTCGCCCAGTCGGTCGACCAAGTGCTCGACGAAGCGATTGCAGGCAACAAGGCCGCTGCGGCTATGCTCGAGCACCACGCCGTGACGACCGCCGACGAGATGGACAACAAGCGCTTCGACCTGGTCGAACTGACGAACATGGGCTGCGTTGACGCCGCGTGTCGTCATATCCAGCAACAACCCCTCGCGGCCGGCGCGCAGCTTCAGGCGATGGCGCGCAACAACCGCACGGCGTTCGAGCACTTTGTCAGACAGCGGATGCTTAACCGGCTACTCCGCGCCACGTTTGGCAACGCCAAGCCGTTCGACGTCCTCTACAAGGAAGTAGTCGGCGCGAACTTCTCGAACGAAGGGATGACGTCGTACCTCAACAACGTGCAAACCGGCAAGCTGCTACCTCGCATGTCGCTCCGCGATGCACACGCCGATGAAGAACAAGACGTGCTCACAAGCCTCGCTGCGGAAGAGCTGATTGCCCTCGCCGAGGTCGTGCTTGCCGTCTCAGCGCCACTTGTGTATGCAAACGACGCCGTCGTCGCGTATATTGCGCGCACGCCCGTCAAGGCCATCGCAATGATGAATGGGGTCCGTGCGCTCTCGTCAGCGACGCTCCTCAGCTTCTTTCACCGAGGCAATCTGGCCCACGCGCCGTTCTGCCAAAGTTTGTGGCAGCAGACGCAGGCTCTGATTGAGCTCGCAACGACCGATGGCACGTGCGAGATGCTCGACGACCTGGACAAGCTGAATGCCCTCGTGGCAGCCAAGGACTGGCCGTTTGTCGGAACGCGCCAGAACATGGCGTCCCGAGGCGATGGCCCGCTGGAGGTGGGCGACCTCGACGACCTCTGGGAGGACCCGTCCCCCTCTCAGTACTAAGGTCCTCGCGGGCTCCATCCTCCAAGGCTTACCACCCGTCACGATCACCACATGCAACCTCAACGGCGTGAAGCAGTACGGTCACGCTGTCTCCAGTGCACTCGTGCACCCGCGGCAGTGCGTCTTCTTCCAAGAAACCAAAATCCACAACGAGCACCAAGTAGAAGGCCTCCACGTGCACCTGCGCAACGATGTCGGCTACAACCAATACCAACTTTTTATCAACGACCACCGGAAGGACCTCGCCGCGAGCCCCGGCGTCCTGAGCAACGGCGTCGGCATGTACTTTCACGTGTCGATGCCCGG